GGGCGAGCAGGCCCACCAAATATGCAGCGGGCGATGCCGTTTTCTTCAATACGCCGAACCTTGTTTACCGCGCGCAGATATTAGCACGGCTGCTAAAGCGCTAGTTTTAATTGCACGTGCTTTGTAGACAATTTTTCCAGCACGCGACTTATGTAGTGCGTCTGTTGAACATGCTCTTAGCCTACGTGCTCGCGTTGAACTTTCGCACGCTCCGTGTGGTGTCCCCGCGTTCAGCTTCCTTTTTGGGTACCTCGGGGTTCTCCCGTCACGTGCTCCAGTCCAGTCACCCAATAAATGCGATCATGTTCTAATTTGAGAAAAAACGTTCGTGCTCCACACACACACAGCTGGATGGAGAGAGCCTCCACCGGACTTTTCTCCTAGTAGGGTATGGTGCCGGTACCAATAATTTTATAGTCATACCATGGGCGTATACCTATACCCGGGTACCATCATATTCATGCTCATGTCCATGGGTTCTATGTCCAATAGGTATCCATCGGGCAAATCAACACAACATTTATCGCGATTACGTAATTGCTAGTCCACGTGTGGTGGAGGCGCCAACCAGCAAGATATTTCTATGGTTGGGTAATTAGTATTGGGAAGAAGAATCAGGGCCGGCCCTGTGTTTCGGAAGGCTCTAGGCGAACTCGACGACATGGGCCCTTATGTTCTAAGTCCTAAGACAATATATATGTATACGTGTGTTATATATATAACTTATTAAAAGTAACTTTCAATCACACATCTTTAGTTTTAAGTATGAGTATAATAATTCAAACGACTCCATCGAGAACAATAATAACCAAATTCGAACCGACTCCATAAAAAACAATGGTACTAAAAAGATAGCAAAATGAAACTAACATGACATGATTACCTCAAATAAGAATGAAATTAGACTGACTCCATCGACAACAATAATACTTCAGTGCTTCAAAAAAAAGTTTCTTCGGGCATTTCTTGATGCGAAGTCATTAAGGGCACAATCAAGATCAACATTGTTCAAGATATCCTTCTCAATGCAGCACATAGCCAGGCCATTCAATCTATCTTGCAACATAGTTGACCTCAAATAATTTTCCAGTAGTTTCAGTTTAGAGAAACTTCTTTCAGCTGAGGCTACAGTCACAGGCACTGTTAAGAGGATCCGATAGGCAACAGAGACATTTGGATAGCAATCTACAGCCATAACAAACTGAAGAATCTCAAGCGCTGACATCAAACCATCTGGCAAAGTTACCTGCAACACTTTTAACTCTGAGACAAAATCATGAAGATCAACATCAGATGATTTATCATCAGAAAAAGCTTTTGCAAAAGTAGCGCAACATTCCTGTAGTTTGCTATCATCCAAGGACTTCAGATTTTTTGAATTGAATAAGAAACCAAACACCTTTTCAAATTTCTTCAACTGATCAAAGCGACTGGTCAATGAAAGAATTGCATTGTCAACGATGACTAGAAAGTAATTAACTCTGAAGGATTCCATAGCTGACAATTGTATTTCTTCTTCTTGATCATTGATTTCATCATGATGCCTCTTTCTTTTCCGTTGACGTTTTGAAGGAAATTCTGGCTCTATGTCCATATCAGATGCAATGGCTTTTGCTATCTCAATACTAGCTTGAAAGCCTTCATCTTTATACTTCTTAAAATATAATATGACCTCGTCAATGTGTTTTATAGTAGCATCAATGCACACCATCTTTTCCTGCAACTTTTGGCTCAGCATATTTACAGAGAACAGAACATCATGCCAGATAACCATGCCAACTAAAGTTTCAAAATTCTCAAGTGCACTGACCAAAGATTGAGCATCACTTACAGCTGCTGGGTCATTAGTAGAAGTCTCCTCCAATTCCTTCAAAGCTGAAATTACATGGATAGTTTGGTACCTGATAGGTTGCACACTCTTTATTCGACTCTCCCAACGAGTACTGGACAAAGGCTTGAGAGTTAGTTTTGTTCCTTTTGGAAGATTGTCAAGTAAAATCTTCCACCTTTTAGTAGAACGTGAAAACAACACGTATATCCGTTGTATAATACCAAAGAATGTAATAGCCTGTTTGCAAGATTTTGCCATATCACAAAGAGTGAGATTCAAACTATGACATGCACATGGCATATACAATGCTTTGGGGTTTTCTTTAAGGAAGCGACTCTGAACACCTTGGTATTGTCCTTTCATGTTGGAACCATTGTCATAACCTTGACCTCTCACATCAGCAGCATTCAAATCAAAAGAACTCAATGTATCCATCAATACCTTCAAAAGCCCCAACCCCGATATGTGTCCTCAACCTTTAGGAACTCTAGGAAAAACTCCTCCACTCTCGGAAGGTTGCTCGACATATTGACACAACGCACAATGAGAGTCATTTGTTCTTCATGGCTCACATCCGGGGTACAATCCAGAATAACTGAAAAATACTTGGCATCTTTGATGATCTTTAAAATTACATTTCTCACGGCATTAGCAAGAATTGAGATCAACTCGTTCTGGATTTTGTGTCCAAGATAGTGATGATGGATTTCACTATTTTGAATACGCCGGATGTGTTCTTGCATAACAGGATCAAATTCAGCAATCATTTCAATCGTGCCCAAAAAATTACCATTATTATCTTGATACAACTTCTCATTTGATCCACGAAAAGCCAAAGTATGTTTTGCAAGAAACTTCACAGCTGAAACTATTCTTACCAGAACTTGTCTCCAACGCTCCTTCTCCTTTGCAATCCCCCTTTGCATATCATCATCAATTGTCTGATTTTTGCTTAGTCTCAACCTAACTTCATTCCATGTGTTCATGTTTGTTAAATGATCAACACTGTTCTCATGATCTTTGAGACGCGCACTCAAACGCTTCCAGTCATTCAATCCATCAGATGCCAGCATAGACTTACTCAGTTTTGATTTGAACAACTTGCAACAAAAACAATATACTTTGTTTGCACCTTTGTGGTAAACCAACCACTTTCTGTCAACAAACTCACCATTACTTAACTTCCTGGAGTAAAAAGCATATGAAAAGTGTCTACCAATGGTGTCCTTCTCGAACTCCAGATCCGGTACTCTAATAGGTCCCTTCTCAATTAAAATATCCCTTTTGCTATTGTCAAGAACTTCCCATGTTCTTGGATCAAAAATAAATGAAAGGGAATCTTCCTGTTCATCATTAGACAAAGGCTGCAAATTTTCTTCCTCCATTGTACTGTCAGCATCAGCTTCAAAATTTATTTGCTCCCCTGTGCTCGCACCATCTTCATTCACCTCAACATCTGGATTTGCATGCTCAGAAGTAGTTTCTTGCCCTTGTTCTTCACTGACATCAACATTGCTTGAAGATGTAAAGTAGTTATTCAAAGAACCCTTCAGTGCTAGAATTTTTAGATCACTTTCTTCCTTTTTCCTCCTTTTTTCAGCACCCGACAATTGCTTCTTCTTAGGTAACATGGCAGGCTAATGTCCTAAAATCATGAAGAAAAGATCAAAAGAGCATACAAAAAATTAGAAATTTATAGATCAGATGATTGGAACCCTAGACATGTTACATAGAATGACAAAAAATTGATAGATTGGATTACAATGCGTACATACTAAATAAAGAATAAATAACCTGCTACTGAGATTGTCAAATTGAGGTTTGGGGATGGACAGGGATGCGTACTTCTTGCCGTATTGCCGTACTTCTTGACTTCTTGACTTCTTGAGTCTTGACTTCCAGTCGGTGCCGGATGCCGGATCACCGGATGGCTGATTGGCCGGGCTGCCGCCTGCCTGCCAGATTGCTGTGTGGCGGCAACGGCTAGCCGGCGAGGCGAGGGCAGGGCGACGGCGCCGAGCGACGGAGCGAGCGAGAAGGACGACGGGCGTGAGTCACGGCGCTGCTTCGGCTTCGCCTACGCGTATCCATCAGCGACAGGCCTGATCAGCGATCACTAGCTATATCTGGGCCGCCTACCATGGGCCATCCTATTTCTTTTATTTAATTCTTTTGTAATTTTTAACTTGCTTTTTGCTGGGCTATAGTATATGTATATACTCCATCATGTGCCCCCCCCCCCTCGCCTGGGCCCTGGGCCGTCGCCCCGTCGCCCATGCCCCAGGGCCGGCCTTGAGAAGAATGGGGGTGGGTACAGAACTTAGATACTCCACGGAAACAAGTCTGGTGTGGTCTCGGTATTTGCCGGTGGGAGGGCTCCATTTTTTGGTGCTTCTTCAAATTTTGTTAGGGTTTCGGTCCTGCTCGGGAAGACAAGACGGCGGCGGTTTCTTGAACATGAAATAAGATTCTCCCCGCCTAGCCCCCATCCCGGTGGTGCGTCTAGCATCATCGAAGAGCGTGTGGAGGTGTGTATCTGGCGGATCTCACGGGATTCGGTCGGTGGTTGTCATTGGTGATCTGCTTGGATCATGTCTTTATTCGTCTTTGTTCATGTGTCTTCAGGTTGGATTCTTCTGATCTAAGCTTATCTTCATCGGCGACTGTTGCTGTTCTGATGCGTTAGTCCTATGGGGCCTTACGACGACTTTCCGACTGTCTACTACAAAAAGTTGTTCCCGACTCCGGCGAGGGAGGGGTGATGACGGCAGTGCGCCTTTGGCTCGCTTGAATGCTTGTAGTCGTCGCTAGGTGGTCTACGAATCTGGATGTAATTTTTATTATTTCTGGTATTCGCTGTATTGCCATGATAAGATGAATAGATGGGAAGTTTCTGGTCTGATTCGGCTAACAACGGACCCCACAGTATGAGTGTGCGAGGGCAAACCACAGCGCAGCAGATGGGAGATAGCGATGTCACGGCCACCAAGATATTTTGCTTGCCAATAATTGACTCCTTGTACTAGTACTCTTCCAGTCGAGCAGGATTTTGGATCTCCCTTCGGCCGACTCAGATCTATTTTGCCTTCTCCTTTCCTCTCTCTCTCTCTCTCTCTCTCTCTCTCTCTCTCTCTCTCTCTCTCTCTCTACCCCCGTTGGCTTTGACTTGATGGCTGCCAGGAAGGTGATTATAGCTGAGAACTCTTGCTGATTCATTTGTAGTTGTTGCATGCCCTGTAGATGCTGATTTGCAGGCCTCGGTTGCTCATCTCGCTCTGTTCTCTAAGGAAGGATTGCAGACTTTGCTCATCTCGTTTTGTTCTCTGACGATTGCAGAAGATCGTGGTGAAGGTTGAGGTAGACGACAGCCAGAGCAGGAAGGCGATCAAAGCACTCTCTACTCTCCGTGGTACTACTACAACTTCTCTTCTTTCCAGTTTTGTTTGTGAATCCGTTTCTGACGTGGACAACAACGTACGGGCCTCAGGTATCGAGGTGATTTCTGTGAACACGAAGCATGGGAAGATCACGGTCGTCGGCGTGGTTAACCCCGTCGATGTCCTGGGCAGGCTGCGGAAGAAGTTGTTTCCGAACGCTGAGATCGTCGCCGTCGAGCCCGTCATGGAGACGAACGAAATTACATACGAGTTCTTGAACCATATCACAAACAATTTCTCCGAGGAGCGCATAATTGGTCGTGGTGGCCATGGAGTAGTTTTCAAGGTACTGTACGATTACTACTAGCATATTTTGCTTTCTATTCCCTTTGTCCCATAATATAAAAACATTTTTGACATTACACTAATGTCAAAAACGTTCTTACTCAAGTATATTATGAAACACAAAAACATAAAAACAGAGCATTGTTTCTCAGACGCGACTAGTCGGCGCCCGAGCGCCCGGTCGGGGGAGCGAGCGTTCTCTCATAATAGGAAAGAGCACCCACGCGTCCCACAGGAACACCTAGAAAAGGAAAACGACTTGTCCCATGTGCTCACGTTATATATCCCACCTGCATTTATTCTGGGATCAAAAACTTTAAAAAGTTTTTACCGTTGGGTTTCTCGCGACGAGTTCTTCAAAACTAGATCCCATATGAGCAGGTTTCGACAAACTTTTTTTCCGAGCAACTTTGTGTGCTATTGAGGCAACTTTAGTGTTACAGGAAAGCAACTCATTTTTTCGGTAGTATGACTACCTATGAGCGGATGATCTTTGTAAGTTGGTACCATGACTACCAATTGACTAGCTACACCTCTAAGTCGCTTATCATAAGGACAACTCCAACGCGGATCACCAAATCACCCCAAATGTCGGGATCGGCCTCTCTAGACACTTTTAACCAATGACGGTCATCTAATTTGTCCAAACAAGTATGTATGTCCGAAATTCTCCAAACGACGAGGGGGCGTTCTCAGAGCCCCTCAGCGTCCATTGCTCCCTCCGAATCAAGTCAGATCACGTCTCCTCAGATGAAAAGAGGAGCAAAATCCGCCCCTCCTAATTAAGGTCCCCGCAATGGACAAAGAGTCCACACTACAAATGGAGATGCTAATCTAGCCGTCAACCTATGACCGTTGTCTGATGATGCCCTCTCCGCTGCTCCTGAGCAAACACGATGTTCACAACTAGATGACGCGCCAAGGGGGAGACATTGTCCCCACTGAGCCAACCATTTCCGTTGCAATAAGGAGGTGACAACAACAACTTCCTATATTGATAAACACAGACACATGTAGAAAAGACTATGTTCACCCAACAGAGCCTATTGGGGGTAGAAAAGAAAAACAACTACGTGACATATATGCACTTGAGTTGTACTTAAAAAAGCCAATAACATTTGGGGTGTTTTGGTGCAACTACAATGTATTTATCAGACAACTCGTATGTAGCCCCAGTCTGACCTGGTATATAGATAAAGCGACTAGATGTAGAAAAGACTAAGCTCACCTGGCAACTCGTGTGTAGTCCATGCATGAAGAACTCCACAGTTTTCCTTGGGCACATAGGCAGTAGCAGATGAGAAAACACACACACATGTGCGCGCGTGCACACACACACACGTAGTCATGTGCCTCATATCTCCAGCTAGTAAACCTGACCAGTTTTCTTTTCATGAGGATTGGGCAACTGGATACATGGTTTTAGGCAAATTGTATGGTTAATTGTGGGCAACTAGATAGTTAGTTTTAGGCAACTGTGTAGGTGATTGCGGGCAACCATGGCGCCTGAAAAAGGGATAAACAACATACACATGTTCATTTTTGTAGATTTCACAGATAAATTTAATCCACTAAAAACACTTCACGGTTTTAGTTACGTCCCCATGACCAGCTCCATACCGCTCCCCCTCTATGATTATTTGCCAAGTATTTACGATCATATCAAGGGATCCCATCCCGAGGAGATAAGTTCTTGACACATCTCCACAACACAAAATCGAAAGGTATCTAAAACCTTTACATATAAGCCAAATTATGGTCTTCGTAATGTTTCTGTTCATAAGGATTGAGCAACTGGATACATGGTTTTAGACAACTGTATGGATGATTGTGGGCAACTGGATACATGGTTTCTATTCATGAGGATTGGGCAACTTTTTTTCAAGGCAACTTTGGGTACGATAGAGGCAACTTTAGTGCTATAGGAAAGCAACTTCATTTTTAGCCTAGTAGGACTATCTATTAGGTTGGTTTGTGTAAAAATTAGAAAATCACACAAAAATATGAGGCACCTTTAGTGCTACATATAAGTAACTTCATTGCACTATGTGTATCAATGAATTTTGCTAAAATTATCACAACTGGCCTACCATGGTTGCTCAGTTGCCTACCATGGATATTCAGTTGCCTATCAGTGATGCCCAGTTGCCTACAATACTATGAAATTGACCAACCATTGATGTCCAGTTACCTGCTATTGATAATTAGTTACGTATCATTACTGCTTAGTTGTCTAACTTTGCAAATTAGTTGCCTACAATTGTGAAGCTGCTTATCATTGTGTTTTTCCTAAGTTATCTAAAACACTATGAAGTTACCTATCGGCGATGCTCGGATGACTGGCATTTTAAGATCGTTATGCAACCCGAATATCAGACAAAAAAAGTTAGCAACTTTTGGGGTGTTTTTGTGCAACTCCAGTGCATTCAACAAGCAACTCATGTGTATTTTCCATCATTATATCTGGAGATTTCAATAATTTTCATGGGCGACTCATGCAAAAATTATGAACAACTTGTGTAGGCTTGTGGGAAACTGTCTGATCCGCCCCTATGAAACTTCTCATCACTCGCTATGCAACTTATCATATGTCACTACTTATGCAACCAACCAACATCCACGACTTGGCTAGCCAACACCCACACGCACTCCCCAAGAAAAGGAAAGAATAAGGCTATCACACCATCCATCTCCACATAGTTTTGAAATTTGGAATCATGATAGACAACTTATAACCCACAAAAACTTTTCAACATTGTAGGAAACTTCGGTCCCTTGATGGACAACTTTCATACTATTTAGGCAATTGGGGTGTGTAGGCAACTTCATAGCAATATAGGAAACTTGGTTTCTGAGGCAGGCAGCTTAGAAGCCATGTTAGGAAATTTTCCACTCTGCGGTAAGCAACTTTCACAGTATCGTAGGCAACTAAACTATCGACAACTTAGTTCTTGATGTATGCAACTTAGCAACCATGGTAACCATCTATTAGACTATTGCACACAACTATTAGTATGCTAGTAGGTGAATCACTAATACACACAATGCACTTCATCTAGCATCAAAGTTGCTCCAATTTAGCACTTAAGTTGTCTCATCTAGCATCAACGTTGCTTTAAAAAGAATCAAACCATATTCATATGGGATCTAGTTTTGAAGAGTTCATCACGAGAAACCCAACGATGAAAACAGATCATAATTCCAACACGCAGTTTGAAAGTTATATCCTTTTAGAATTTTCTTGTAATGAAATTAATGCATCTTATGTCATTGTTGGGTTCATATAGTTGGTCGGACGAGTTCGTGAAAGATCAACGTACTATAGTGGATGAATCCTTCCATATATGGGCAACTTAGGATGATGTTAAGCTACTCGTTAGTCATGGCACACAACTTAGGATATTGGTAGCCTACCTCAGAAACTAAGTTGCGTATAATACTATCAACTTGGAGGCGAAACTAGTTATGGTAGAATACTTGCTAGTTATGGTAGAAAACTTAGATGTGAATCTAATTAACCTGGTAGTATGGTAATCAACTTTGAAGGAATTTTCGATGATAGGCATTCATACTACACAGACTAATTAGAAGTTGCTTTCCTATAACACTAAAGTTGCTTCTGTAGTATCCAAAGTTGCTAAAAACGTTAGTCAAAACATACTCATATGAGATCTAGTTTTAAAGGGCTCGTCGCCAGGAACCTAGCGGTGAAAGCGGATCTTAACTTTTATACTCGGTTCAAAAGTTATAGCTTTTTAAAAATTTGAAACACGCACTAAATGCATGCACGTGATATCTTGCTGAGAAACTCAAGGGATGGGATGGTACACGGATACGTCGGGGACCATGTGCTTTTCATGCGTGTTAATCCTCTTTGTGGACTCTATGATTGGGTTGACTTAATTGCACTTTGTATTAACCACATGTCGGGAAGGAAATTGACGGACATGAGCATGCGCTCAAGACGACGACCCAACACAGCTGCACGTTTAAAAATTCGGGTTGTTTCTCATCTTTGGCAATATTCGTCTTTAAACATATATACCTCTTCCTGCCAGAAGACTACAGAAACTGGAGCCAAAACACAACCCTCAGCTGCTATCCTTAGCACCATGGGAGCCTATCGTATTTAGCAAAAATTGCAGCAACAGTTCTGGCCAAATGGCCGGTATTTAGCGAAAATTGGGGAAAACACTAAATGAGGTAAAATGTGGCAAAAACTGGAATTTACTATATATTGTAACTCAAACTTTCTTTAGATGGCTGTAACTCAGCTTGATACGAAACATGGAAGGATCATCATTGAGTTCAGCTAGGATCCTAGTCAAGTCATTCTCTCTAAACTTGCCATATCTACACCAGAGATCCAACTTCCACATAACCATCTTCGGGATGGAGGTTCTGAGGCACCCCATATAGTCTGGCCCATATAGAGAAAAGTTTATAAAAGGTTGCAAACTGGTGATCACTTATGAGACGCCGGAGCAACTAGTTAAGGAGCACCTCCTTCGCGAGCCTCGCAACGATCAGCGGCACTTGGCGCGCTCTCAGCTATTCGCCACGTGTCACGCTTTGGACGCTTCCTCCGGATTTTGTTTTTTTTATTTTCCGCGTGCATTTTCGGCTTTTTAAACGTTCTTTTTTCAGGGGTTTTTCGATATTTTTGTTTCCCCCTGTCTTCCTTAGCTTTTCGATAAAAAAATCGGAAAAAAATGTTTGCGCGAAAAAAACACATTTCTTTCTTTTTCCCGCGGAAGTTACGGTTTTTTTCTGCGAGAGGCACGGTTATGCTTTACCGAGAGTCACGGCCGTGCCTTTCGGAAACAAACAAAAATGCATTTTCTGTTTTTTTTCTTTCGCGAGAGTCACGGTTTTGCTTCCGCGAGAGGCACGGTTGTGCTTTCGCGAGATTCACGGCCGTGCCTCTCAGAAAGGGAAAAACAAAACGCGTTTTCTATTTTTTTTCTTTCATGAGAGTCACAGTTTTGCTTCTACGAGAGGCACGGTTGTGCTTTCGCGAGA